AAGCTATTAGTACGATTTGAACTCATAACCATCTCTTATCCAAGCCATTAAATAGAGCCACTCACTGGGTTTTTGTCCTCTTGCAGGACTTTGCCAAGGATGACCCCAAAAAACCCTTCTTTTGCTGCAAGAGGTTAACCAAGAAAAAGTATATGAAAATGGTATCCATGGGTAGGTTGGAATATGGGGAGATAAGGTGTTAGCATTAATGTATAAATCTTCTAGAAGCAAGGTTGGCAAGAATTGGCTACTAAAATGAAATGATTGACTTTTTAAAGACAAATGGCAAATGTTAGAATGTTGATTCAAAATTGAGAAGCTGGGCTTAGCCTAAAGCAAAGTGATTTATTACTAAATTTACTATGATTATAACTGCCCAACTGTTGCTATTAAAGCCATCTCTTTTTCCTTTTCTTTTTTTTATGCAAGGTGGGTTTAACTTGTGAAGTTTATGATTGGATGTGTTAATTAAAAGTTGGGTGCAAGAAAAAGCCATCATGTTAATTAGTGTAAAGCAATGTTTAGCTTATTAAAGCATTGCTCGTTGGCACTATATATAACATAATGTATAAACTTTACTACTTTATATTATAAAATCGAGCCTGTTGAAAAGCTCATTGACTAATCAATTGTCTCGAAAATTTAGGCTAAACTAGAAAGAACTCATCTAACTTTTATGTTGATACACTCTTTTCACCCAAAATCAAAGTCCTAGAAAAATTAATTACTATTACATGTAAAACATGAACAATAATTAATGACCTTGAACCGAGAAGGAATGGCAGAAAGAAATGTTTTAAGATTCAAACACAACCTTTATGACACTCCCTATCTATCCTAACTTGTTGTGAATATTTTTTTTAATTTACGAAATCATTTTTTTTAAGATTATTTTGATAAAGTACGTAATATTCACATTTATAAATTTTTAAGATCTATTTTATATACCAAATGTGATATTGAAGTGTTTCTCTCTTACTCAATTCGATAATATTTTTGTCGTGATCAACCACCCTTACCTTCTTTTTAGAAATTCCTAACATAAGTTAAATCTAAATTAAATATGTTCTTATATCACTTAATTTGTTACAAAATTATTATTTTTTCTCTAAAAAATTAACCTATTAAAAAAAATTATGATAGTGTGACATACATACACGTCAATATATATTAAAAAACACCCATTATAATCATGTATCTTTGAGTCCACCCAACATAATTGGGAAAATGATGCTTATCCTATTTTATCTTAGCTATATACATATTGTAAAGAAATTCCTTCCTTTTTTTGTTAATTGTGAAATGCACCAGTCTTACAAAGCAATAATTGAATTTAAGAAAGGGAATGAACACCTTGAAAGGAATACTATACATTTCTACTCAACAATTTCCGTCGGCTTGTCAATTTTAACATGTATCAATCTTGAAACTATGTTCAGTAAAATAATTTTTTATATAAATGAAGGGTTCAGAGCAATTAATATGTATTAATCATTGCTTCCCATCTGATCAATCTAACTCAACTATTCTTTTACTAATTTTTACCGTCAATCATAATGGCAATTTAAATGAAATTAAGACCCATATTTATATAAATATTATCCCGTACATGCATGGAACTTGGAAGCATTGTTCGTATCATTATACAATAAACAAATTGAAGAAAATGGGTTGACTCAAAATCTAATGCCAAATGCCAGAAGGCGTCAGTAGTGCTTAATCATATAGTAGTTTATATATATATATATATATATATATATATATATATTTATGACGGTGATTGTGACCAATTCTTAAGATTGTTTTAAGGTCAAAATGCTAGTTCAATGCCCGACCAATTGCTAGCTTAAACTGATTAAGGTCTTGATGACTACTTTATTGCGTGCATCCATCCACCTTCGTGGAGGTTGCTTGTCACTACCCAGTCCACATAATCATAGAGCCGACCTCCATCTAAATTTGATGCATTGGATCATAATGTTAATTATATTGCTTTATCATTTATTATCAATACTAATCATGAATCTTATATATTGCTATGGGTCCTTAATTTCGACAATGCTAACCTTACACACACATAATCATTCACAGAAATATCAAATATTCATTTGGATTTAAGAGATGGAGTAAGATTTGAATAAAAATCTCAAGTTTTGAATATTTAAAAATAAACTATCTTTATATTTTTTAATACATTTATATATGTTATTAAATTATTCATATACTTTTTATTTTAGGTTATGATTATTAATAAATCCCATTGTTATCAATCTAAAAAAATTAACAAAAACATATATAAATAATAATGGATAAAATAATATTTTCAATAAATCAAATAAATATATTGAACCCACTTCAAAATTAATATACATGCCTTAGTAATTGTCCATTATGTATCTCAAGGATAATTAGCAAATGTTGTGAAATAGTGTTTATAATGAGTTTGTGAAAACGATTATTATTATTATTATTATTATTATTATTACAATGGATGGAATCCTCTATATATATATATATATATATATATATATTAGTCATAATCTGAATAATGACCCCTCCATTAGCAGATATCAAGAGAACATATAAGCAAAATGATTGTGAGGCATTGGCCCCCCAAATGTAAGGGCCATTTAGATAAACCCAACAACTTGTCTCTTCTTAATGGCACATGTACTTGCAAAATGCGGTCATGGGTCCTCGGATTGCCCAAAAGATCATGTTCCTGTCTAGCTTACAACCAAAAGTCTCCTTGGGCGAACTTGAATCTTCCCCAAAGGTCACGTGGAAAGCTCCCTCAAAATAAAATCTATGATATTTTCATCATGCACTACACCATTACTTCTTCCCACGTCTTCCTTCTTCTTTATTATTATTATTATTATACTTTGTTAAATCAGCACAAATAATATACTAAAATACTAATTAATCATGTTACCAAGAAAAAATATCTCCATTAGTACCCGAGATTTCAATTTTAAGATCTTAAAATCGAGTCATCATACAAACCGAGAGGTACGAGTGTATCATATCGAAAACAGTTCCTTAAAAAAGAAAATAGTAAACCGATAGAAACAAGAGACAAAGAGCTAAATGAATTGCTGTAAAATGCAGTTGAATAATTGGTTATTATTGATGGGCCTTAACTAGAAGGCGACTGGCTTAATTTATTCATGTTTTGCAAATAGAGAACAGCACAGGGACAAACAGAGGCAAACAGATGAAAGGATGAATTAAGAGTGTTAGGTAATCTGTCTTTCACTTCTCCACTTTCCATGAGCCTTTGCCCTGTTTCCTTCACAGTATATCCTCTAGGGGAGAGGGGTTTCCCTTTTAGAAAGATGCCATGCAGAAAATGGTCAATTTTGGGGGAGGGGTCAAGCTAGGCACTCATGTTGATGATCAGAACTGGCAGCTTTAAGGGCACATGCTCTTATTTAAATGTCACATCTGGCAAGTTTATAATGGAAGGACACTATTATATATATGTATATATATATATGTGCCACCTAGGGGCCCCAGGACATGGGGGTTTGGTTATTTTTTCTCATGTTAAATTAAACTTGTGCCTAAAGGAATTTGCTGCATCTCTTTTTAAAGGCCAACTCCGCACCAAAATGAAGCATACCCTCCTTCTTAGGGCAGGGCATCTGTCAAAAGAGGGGGGCACATCTTATCTTGCGCCGTTGCTTTTGCTATCTTATCCTTATGCCTCCTCATTGGAACCAAATAGTCATTCTCCAGCAAACAATCACTGGATTGTAGCTGATGCTGAAGCCATCGAACTCTTAACAGTGACAGATATTGATGAGTAGTCTAGATATCATAGAACGAACAATTATTCCACTTTTTTTTGCTAATTACAGATTGATGATCATCAAATTACTATGTGTTAGAAATAACTACAAACTATGATCAATTACTGATGAAAATGATCGAAACAGTTCTACTGATTCCATATATACTCCCTGATGTAACTCTCCCTATCGATTTCCTTCATTCTGATCAGCTAACAGTTGACAGATTTGACATTTGTTTTTGTAAACAAAATATGGGATTGAGATAATCAAAGGAATTAATGAAGGAAACCAGACATCATTGTTCAAATACATGAATATCGGGTCAGTGACCAGTGCCAATGGCATCCTTTTCTTTGCAAATATGGCTAGATCAGGACTCTATTACCTACTCCATGTTAGACAAGTCATGAGACTTTTCATCCCAAGAAAAATCGTCTCATGGCAATATAGCCCTTCATAAAGAGTTTCATTTATTGAAGGATTAGTGATCATTTGGTGTAACAACACATCAAACTGAATGAGACTTTTTCAGTACTAAAAACCTGTGGGGTCTGTAGGTGTAAGCTATTGAAGAGTTTTAATTAGTTTCACCTGCAAATTTGCAAGTAACTGCCAGACTTGGCGTCAAGGTTAATGTTCTTAGAACAGATGAAATGATGTTTACCAAGTACTAACCAATTAGCAAAGAGGGCAGTTTCACCTCATTCCAACAATGAATTCTTTCTAATATATATTCTTAATGAAAATAATGTAAACTCTTCTCAGTTTTTGGGTTAGTGTGTAGTTTTTCCTTTTGACTTGTACCATTTTTAAATCATAATAAAATAAAAATATCACACTCTAATATTTAATTTATTAATTAATACATTAAAAATTCAAATTCTCCTCTATCTCAATCTAAAAAAAAAAGGAAAACAAAGACACCATAGCCCATGTATTTTATAGGCCAAACCAACAGACTATCTCAAGCTGACAGCATTACAGAAGGCTCAAGGCCCATTTCTGCAGGCAATTTGAGCAGATGGAAGCCTCTTATACTTGAAACTTGGAAATGTTTCTAATATAATTTTTCCTTCTAATGTCATAAATTCTGAGATTTTTATTAGAAAGATTTTTATGTTCTAGCTATGATCGTAACATTATCTTCTTGTCTTACAATAAAAAAAAGACTTAAAAAGGAAAAGTATAAACGACAAAGATGAGTAGTGAACACTGATTAATACATTGATTTTGATACATACTCAAAGTTTTATGATAAAGGGTAAAAAGAGCAACAACAATTTTCAAACCATATATTAATCAAAAGAGAAAACAATAAGAATATCATGGAAGAGAAAAATGGCAACAACAAGACACCAATGCAGCCATGTAGCAGAAGGGGAAAAAAGAAAGAGAAACAAATTCCGAAGGAGAAGAACAAAATCACTCTAAACTAAAGTTCTACTTCACATGGTACCTTGTCGAAATGCTTGTACCAAGAAAAGTGCAATGTCACTGAGGAACACACAATCCTTAGATTACGATGCCTAGACTTCCATATACCTACCTTAAACCGAATCTTTGACTTAAAATGAACATCAACTTGGATCTCCCCGGAAGCTTTTTCAACCTTGATGTCCTTAAATATTGATGGTGACAATGCTAAATTTTGAGCCGCGAGCTTCGATTCCACTCGGGTCGCATTCCTATGAGGTTGAAAGAAGGGCTCAACTGTGTTGAACGCCAGAGTTTGATCTTCGTATGTCACTGCAGACTCAATGTAATCGTAGTAGAGGGAGACTCTGCTATTAGGATTATATGCCTTGAGGACAAAATCGAATGTGGCATTGAGATGGTTATTGGTTAGGTTGAAATTTTGTATTGAACCATTTTCCATGGTGTAAACAAACCTTTTTGGCCTAATGATTAGCCATGTGATCAGCACGGCTAGACCAACAAGAACAAGAAGGGCTAGCAAGCAAGTAGCGAGAAATCTTACCAGGTTAAAGTGTTTTGGTGGCTGTTGTGTAGCTTGTGCTGTATTGGTGTTACCATTTGCCATTTCGGAGTGACAATCTTATGATCTGAACTCTGAACTCAGAATGTTGAATGTTGTTTTATACAGGATAAAAGGTTAGCGAATATTTTGCCCCGATGGACTCTTAAATATATATATAAATGCAACAGAATTGTTAAATGTTTTCTCTAGTCTTTGTTCTTTTATTTCTTTAATTTCTTTAATTTGCCCTTTTTCTTTGTCATTCCCTTTGAGGGACTTTAAGGTTTCTTGAATGAAACTCAAGACATCTGAAAGATTCATGTGCTGTTCTTTTCTTCTGGTTCAAATGCTGCAAGATTCATTGCCGCAACCAATTAACTCTCCGGCTCTAGGCTGAGCTGGCTGCAGCCTGCAGCCTAATCCCAATTTTCACTTTGCTTAGTTTGGCCCAGCATTGGAGTGGAAGAATATGCTTTTCATATAGAGCATCAATTTGATACCATATGCCAGTCTGAACTGGCTTTGCTTGTATCAGATGTAGATGAATATAAATTTCTTTTCTTTCCACACCCAAAAAAAGGTTAAAAAGAAATCCAATTGCTGATGTTAGAAGCTTACCAACTAGATTACTTGAGATGCTTTTCTGAGTGGATTGCCACTTTAATTAGCCAAGTCCATTAGGCACTAAAAAAGGGTGTAATTTTTCATGATTGACAAAATCCCAGAAAGGTGGAGCTTTTAGGACTATCAAACTTAATTTTGTTGGTGTTGGCGGATAGGTAGTAGTTTCAGAGATGTTTAGATAAGAGAATCTAGTAACCACTGCTTATGCTCATTAGGAAAAAATTCCTTCTAGGAAATTCAACTCTTAGATCATGAATCAATTCTATCATATACTCCTAAAACAATATATAGTCCTGAGCTCGAGATTATTGTTAGCAATGGTGATTATCAGATGAGTTCTTAGCAAGGTGGTTTCTCCATTTCTGCTCAGTTGTTTTCTTTTCTCTTTGCATTAGGTCATCCTTGTTCTTCTGTTTCTGCTTTTCTGGCAGTTATCTCCTGGTTTTTAGGAATTTTTTGAAACAAATATGTATAAAATTAAAAAGATTAAAGAACAAAAGTTTCCATTTCAAAATGTCCAATAGCACTTTTTTTAAAAAAAAATATTTTTCCTATAATTCCAACCCTTCTTGTCTAAGCTGCCACCCACATTGGCTTGGCTTAATCTCCCTTAAGACTTTTGGATAAAGCTTTCATCCACGCTTTCTTTCTTGAGTTTTCAGTTGATATCATAGGCTCTACTTGATGTCAATTGGTACCTGACACTTGGCAGACGTTGCTGAATGCTGGAGGGGAGCTAAAACACAGAAAGCTTGAAGACATTGCATCAATCCAAAAGTTTAACCCATAAATCCTATACATACATACATATATATGCTGCATTTGTCTTCTGATGTTTCTTTAAAGTGATAAGACCAGCTGGATTTAGGTTTAATTTGATTAATTATGCTCAATATCCTACTTTCTGCTTCAATAACGACTAAAAAGAAGTCATCAGGCTAAATGGTTTACCATTTAACTCAAATTGGAGCATTGAACAAAGGCAGTGGACAGGCTGACACCTGGCTTGAGCATTACTTATCCAAATTAAGGATACGTGCTAAAGCTCGAAAGGATATGCATAAAGATTTCTATTTCACTTGCTGATCCTTTGCTTTACATCCAAGGTATTCCAAGCCACATTTTTCAAATAACTCAATTTCCTGAAATGGAAACAGTAATAAGTATATTTAGCAACATTTACACTATACAGATCTACATAATCAAACAGAGTCACACAAGTTTTTTATTTCTCTACAGTGCGGGGGGGGTGACAGTTGAGTAGAAGTCCTTGTTTTGAGTCTTAGTCCACAGTAAAATTTGAAAAAGAAAGGATTCTTTGAAGTGTATCATCATATATGCCACATGTATCAGAAGTAACACTGAAACTAATAAATTTAGAAGCTGATATTTTCAAGATTATGATACTTCGAGCAGAGTTTGATCCTCTTAGCTTACTCTCTTTCCTATCAGATTTGAACTTTCAGGCAAACTTAAAGTTCTTAGTTTCCTTTATATTTCTTGCTTCACCTCTAAGTAATTCCTAAGCCACCCTCACTTCAACTTTTTGATGTATAGGAGGATAAATGCATCCCAGGAAGCATTGAAAAACTTAATACAGACTCCATGCAATAAATGATATGCCTTGACAGGTTGTTGAATTTGATTCCAGTCCTGTTCAGTGCTACCTTTTTGCTGTAAGTAGACAAAAGCATCCCCTGTTAAATAATTAAATTTCATCAAATGTCCAATTTTTTTATGAGATAGTCCACATTGAAATTAAACAAAGGAGATAGGTGATCATGTATGAGTTAGGTACCACCTTCTCATTCTGATTCCAATTTTCTTGCTCATTTTCTTCTCTGGGTGATCATCACATATCAGAATCTGCTTAATTTGAACTCAGGATTAAGCATTACGCCATCAATTGGATGGAACTTCTACTTAGCATCTTCCCTTTCCCCCTTCCTTTTGCAGTAACAATGAAAAACAACACATATGCTTTAGCTAAAGAACAGGCGGAGACAAAAGTAAAATCCACACCCAAGCAAAGTATTTTTGAGGCAAAGCATGTTAAGCAGCTGAAAACCACGCGCTACACACGCACGACACGCTCATCGAGTCCTTATCACAAGCAAGATGAATCAGATCAAACAAGGAATGTAGCGCGTGGTAGCGTTTTAAAGTTAAAGTGTAGTACTATTTTATTGATAAGGCAGGCAAAAGATGCAACAGAATAAGAGGAAAAAAGGGCAAAAGTTGTGGTCACCAAATGTGGAGCAATGTAGTTGGTCGCCGCATATCCCTTGGAAGATGCGGTCCTTTCCATTTGGCATAAACCACAGGGAGAAGAAACCCAATTCAAATAGCCACATTGTTTCTGTCTTTTATAAAGCTGTCTCACAGATATCACCCTCAGCTAGCTAGAAGCCATACAGGATTACGACTGATGAGCTATTATTTCAAGATAGCTGGGCATTTCACTTAGTCATGGTGCCACCCCCACCATGCCAGAACCCAACGAAACTTGGCAACAGCAAGGGCTTAGTTGGTGTTTTCAGCATGGTGGGAGGTGGCAGAGTATAAATATTCAAGGTATGAATTTGATTTGATGGGAGGAATGGGGATTTTGGTTGAATTGCAATAGCAAATATGTCAACCACATCCAGGGGACTGTTTCCCCCACAGGGCAACTATAATCCTTTGGCATGCACTTTAAGTTGAAGATGATCTCTTATCTCTTCACTTCATGTGATGGGAGAAACTGGGTTTTTTTAAATTGCAACCAGATTTCACTGTAAGGTCTGGTTTCTCCCACAGGGCAACTTCAATCCTTTGGCAGTTTCACTTCTCTTTGCGCCATGTGATTTCATCGTTGGAGAAGGTATGAAGAACCATCTGCAGCATGGCCGAGAGTTAGTTTTCTCTTTTAGTAATCTCAGTTTTACGTTTTCCTTCGTTTTTTTTTTTTTTCATATTTTCTTAAGTGTGTGTTGCATGAAATAAGCAGTGGTTCGTGGGTGCTTTGCATTTGTGATTTTTGTTCTGTAACTTCTGGATGTATCAGAATATAGCAAGTAAAGTGCAATCACCATATGTTTCAGAATCCAGATCGTTTTACTGGTTTGCAGCTTAATGTTAGGCCATCCAAAAATAAATGAATGGCAGCTCATTTGATTTAGTTTATTGTTGTTACCTGTAGATCCATTGTGCTAATGGGATATGTCAATAAGAACTCAAAACCCCATGCAAACCACGAAGAAAAAAGGATTGGAAACACTGCACATGCACATAATCAGTCCATTACTTTATGTGATATTTTTTGAGACATCGATCATGATTTTACCGATACGAGGGCACATGCAGTTTTTGACCCACATATATACCTAATTATGAGTAATTAAACATAGAAAAATACTTAATCAATACACCCAAGGTGGCGAATGGTATGTCTTGTAGATATTACTCGATAAATGTAACTGACATTCAACCCCTTAGCATTTTGTGGACTGTTAATCCGTTCAAGGCCATCTCAAGCATCTTTTCATAGTTCGATACACAATCTTATTCATATTACATTTAACTTTGAAGCAATTTTATCCCACCTACCACCAATCAAGTTAAATTTGCTATTCTGCAGCTCAGATTCGGCCATTTGGCTTCTCTTCATACAAGTAAATACCACGATACAGTTTTCCAACCAATTTGATATGGTCATACTTAAACAAGAACACAAAGGGATTTCAATTCCTTAAGCGACTTCTGTATAACCCACCACTCTTGCCAAATTGAAAAGCAATGCCATCTCTCCAGCTTGAGCTGAAACCTGAGGAAACTACTCTGCCCATAGGGCCAGAACTATAGCATGACTGCGCCAACATTCAACAAGCATTAACTCTTACAACTACAGCCCTGAAGGACTAGCATAAAAATGGAGACATAATCTGGGTTCTTGTAGCCACGATGATTTTGTTAAGATCCTGGAAAGCTCATAATTATTCTCAAACAGAGCAGGAAGGTATAAACTCTAAACTCTAAAAAGGAATTGGTGATACAGCGCATGAGGCGGCCTTTGCCGTCCTCTGCCTCTCAAGACCATGAAAGCAAACTCAAAGTCCAAGAAAAGGTAAGCAAATAAGCATCCATCGTTTCTGCCCTTGCTAGCTCAAGTATGGGCAAAAGGAGGAGCACAAAAGGGATGGTGCGGACAACATTAATGGCCTTTCTGTTAATTAGAAAATGAGCTCCTGAGGACTGTGATGGTTCCAACTTTTTTCTTTAATTTCTTGATATGTTAGACAAAGTCACCTGACTATCTAAGATATTTGATTTTTTTTCTCTGGAGAAGGATAGTGTATCTGATCAATTCCTTCCAACAGTGCTACACGTTCCAAATTTCGATTAGGAGGCAGACAGCAGAAAGTGGAGGAGCAGACTTTAAGCCTGTGCTCCTGCTCAAAATCAGGAATATTCCGACTGTCTTACCAACAACACTTTAAAATCAACATGTTTCTACCCCTTTCTT